GTCTGATTTTATAGCACACTGGGGGAAAGACTATTTGATGAGCTTCCCTGATTTTTAATGGTGACAAGAAATGTGTGTGTGTGTGTGTACTCATATAAGTGTGGAAGCAGAAAGGGTAGAAGAGGAGTGAATATAAAAATGAACTAGTATTGATAAAGCATCATTGTTGCTAGGCTTATTTAATTAGAAATTGTATTGAGATTATTGCAGAGTCACATTTAGTTGTAAAAAATGAGAGATTCCTTGCACAGTTTACCCAGTTTCTCCTAACAGTAACTATTAAACTATAGTATGAAATCACAGTCCAAGATATGGATACTGACACAATCCATCATTCTTATTCAGATATCTCTAGTTTTACTTGCACTCATTGTGTGAATGTGTGTGTGTGTGTGTTTTGTTCCATACAATTTTACCATGTGTGCAGGTTTGTGTATCCACAATCAGTGAAGACCCAGAGCAAACAGTTCTATCAACACAAGGACATACTGTATTTCTCTTTTATAACATGCCTACCTCCTTTCCTGTCTCAAACTCTTGGCAACCATTAATCTGTCCTCCACTTCTAAAATGTCATCATTTTAAAATGTTTTATAAATAGAATCATACACCATATAATCTTCTGGAAATGGCTTTCTTCACTTCACATGGGTCCTGGAGATTCATTCTAATTGTTACCTTCATCAATAGTTCATTCCTTTTTTATTGCTGAGTGGTGTTTCATGGATATATGTATCAAGGTTTGTTTAATTATTTACCTGTTGAAGGATTTCTACATATTTTTTTTCTTATTACAATTAAAGCTCTTATTCATGCAAAGGTTTTTGTATGGACAGATGATTTCATTTCTCTGGAATAAATGCCTGAGAATACAACTGTAAGTTCCCTCTGGGTGAAGAATAATTTTAGGTCTAGTGAGACAAAGAGGCTTCCTGGATGGGACCATTTGTCTAAGGCACAACAGATACAGAGAGACCCTCTGCTAGATGCTTATTTTGGTGAGGTTCCTTATTGGTCCTCTTTGAGAGTGGCATCTCCTCTGATATTGTCAGTTGGATTTCCATTCAACTTGAGGGAGGAATCATCATGCCTGGGCTACCTTTGTTCCTGGATCAGAGGCAGAGAATCACTGAGTGCAGGCTGTTTTTTCTTCTACTGGGTTGGTCATATAAGACACTGTGTTGTTGGATTGATCCCTCAGTCCTGAGGTCTCAAAAGAGTTTGTCTTCTTCTTACTACCCTTTAGACATCTCCTTTAGATGTCTCTTTCATAATTCTGAGGGCTTACAGTTTTGCTTAGTGGGGAGGAGTAGTGCAAAAGAGTTCATGGAGTTTTGTCTAGACTGTAAGTCTATACTCATTTTAAAGATAAGCAAAAAGGTAGAAAATTCAGGATAATAAAAATCTAGGCAACAGGAAATGGGCATGTTTTGTCTTATCTGATCAGATCACTCAAAATTTTGTTGAACTACTTAAAAAAAGTTAATAGACACAATTTTGTATTTCCATCATTGTCTTGAGAGATAAAAGACTAATAAACATATGATAGAGATTAAGACATTAAGCTTTTAAAGCAGAATTTGTCCAAGAACCTCCTGAACAATGCTCATAAGAATCTTGTAAATGAATATTGTTTTCTCCATTGTACATATAATGGAGCTCCATCTCAGAATGATAAGTGACCCAACATCTGGCTACTTAAGGAACTAGAGAGTTCATCTAGCTTTGAAGCTGGGAAGGAGATGGGTGTAAATAAAGCTACGTGTCTATATCCATCAAATTCTGACCTTATTGTAAACTCTGGTTTTATTGTGAACTTTAAAATGTTGTCAATTGGATCTCAATTTTCTTTAAATTTGTAGTGCAAGCTACACATTTAATGTCCAATAAGGGACATGATCCACTTCCCAGGCTACAGCTATAAGGAATCTATCATTGTCCTTTATGTTTGATGTCTTAAAATGATAACGTTGTATTTCCACCCAAAAGGTCATTCTTAGAAGATTTTCAAAGTAGATGATATAAATAGTGCCTGTTTAAGTGAGAGCTTTCATAACAGATTAAATGTTTAAATGTTCAAAAATATAAATTTTATTCACAGTAAGAAAAAGATCATTTCATAATTTTTGCATCCTATTTCTCTTAGGGTGCTTTGGCAAATATTTTGTTTCTTTTAGCTTCATTTAGATATGGCAGGAAGAAAAGGATGAGAGATTCTAACTGTAAAATATTTGAAGTCAAGGACATATGGTTGGAGTCTGAGCTCTGCCCCTTACTTACTCTGAGGCCTTAAGAAAGTGACTTGACCTCATTGTACCTCAGGGTCTTTATGCAGAAATGGTAGCACATACCTTTAACTTACTTAAATGTGGTCAAGTATCTTGCACATAGGAAGGATCCCCAAATACTTGTTGTTTTCTTTTTTCCTCTGTCCATTCTTAGAACCACCTCAGATTAAAAGGATTGATATTAAAATTCTTACAGAGGAACAAATCCAGTTTCCCATTTTGAATCTGAGTTCTATAGTTGCATCCCCTTGTGTTGTCAATAATGTGTCAGAATAATCCACTGAAAATTAGCCTGTGTTTTGTTTTTTTCCTCTTCCTGTGAAGAATATATTAGGGGGCTGGTGATGTAGCTCAGTGGTAGAGCACTTGCCTAGCATATGGGAGGCACTGGATTTAATCCTCTGGGCCACATATAAATAAATAAATAAATAAATATTAAAGAGAAAGAGTATATTAGAAATTATGCCTCTACTCACAGCTCAAAAATGTAGTCTAAATTAGAGTTTCTGAGTTCCAGAGCTCTTTGCCAATGAGATTGCTATTGGTTTGTATACAGAAAACCTGAAGGTATAATTTTAATTTATGAATTTTTTAGATGGGGTTTTCCTGGATGTTACCCGGGCTCTCCTTGAATCCTCTCCTGCCTCAGCTTCCCAAGCAGCTGGGATTACAGGCGTATGTCAATATGCCCAGCTAAAGGTACACATTTTCAGGCACCATGAAAGCCTCTGTACTTGGGTTTAAAGAAGAAAAAAAAACCTTCAGGTTCTGAGATGATCCAAATAGAAGATGGATATTTGGGGAAATTTTTGCCCAGGACCAAGGAGAGTTTATTTAAAATGGAAATTTCAATAAGGTATCCTAGGTATATCTGGTAGATACCCATTACCCTTTTCTCAATTAATCTCTATTTTTTGTTATGGACAAATAATTTAATTGAATCAAATTTTCTTTCATCTAAGAGGTAACCAGAGAACTGAAGGAGAGACATAAGGTTGAGGGTTCAGATATAGACCCTTGAGTCATGTTCAGGCTTGAACTATCAGCATCAATCAAGATTACAGGGCCCTGCCAGAATGTCAGTGTGTAAGATCCTATATCAGTCAGGATAGGCCAGGATATGTTGTGGTAACAAGTAACCCTTGAATCTCAGTGGTTTCAAATAACAAAAGTTTATTTGTTTATTTATTGATTCATACTAGGGATTGAACCCAGGGGCACTCTACCATCAAGCCACACTCTCAGACTTTTTAATCTATCTATTTATTTATTTATTTAAATTTGATATAGGTTCTCCCTAAGTTACTGAGGCTGGTCTTAAACATGTGACCTTCTGTCTCAGCCTCTTGAGCTATGGGATTACAAGCATGTGTCATAGCACCTGGCACAAAGGCCTTTTTATTTGTGGTTGACTATGTATCTTGTTCTTCATTGTTAACCTCCATACTCTGGGATCCAGAATAAAGAAGTAGCCACTCCTGGAGAAATTGCCAAGCATGTGCTGACTCTCAGAGCTTTCTCAACCTGAGAATGCTAGGTCATCTCTGTTCACATTTTACTGGTCAAGAGAAATCACACGGTGTACCTAACTTTAGCTGGTTAGACATACAATCCTACCATGTGCCTGAAAGGGGAGAGAACAGACTAGTTTAAATAGTTAATTCTAATGTCTTTAATAGTCTGTATTTCTGATGACTAAATATTCAATTTAGTCTCCTCTTATGGAATGAGAATGCTCATATTCATCCCAAAGGAGACAACCCAAAAGTCCTGTTCTGTCTTGTCAGCAACCTAAAATCCCACATCTTTTGGAGCTTCGTGGTAGTCTCTTCATCTAGGAGTGAGATGCAATGATGCCTACATCAAAACTGGATGGAATTGCTCTTGATTCAGAGAATGATAGACTAAAACTTAAAAGAATCCTCATATGTCAAATATATATGACAGAATAAAGGCAGGCTAATGTCAACACTCTTCTTTTAAATTTGGAAAACTGGAATACATTGGTCTATAGAGATCCTAGTAGGCTGACCTAGGGAGGGCACTAATGCCCACTAATAAATAATGCTTAAGTATCCAATCCTTGTTTTGCTCCTTAGCCCTTAGTTATCAACCTTGGCCTCAAGGCCAAGGCATCGGAGAATATGCCATCCAATAGGAACATATTGTGTCACAGTCCAAAATCTAGTCCAAAACCCTCATGGGGTTTACTCTCCAAGCTCTAGGACAGAAGCCATTCCTTCTCTCTTCTAACTTCTGGTTACTGCTGGCATTCCTTGATACTCCTTGGCTTCTGGAAACATCATCCTAATCTCTTTCTGTCTTTACATTACCTTCTCATGTGTGTGTGCGTGTGTGTGTGTGTGTTTGTGTGTATGTGTGTAATCTCCCTCTACCTGCCTACTGAAAGGACACTCACAATGGTATTTAGGGTTCACCCAGAAAATCTAGGATAATCTCCTTATCTCATGATCCTTATTTATATCTCTCGTTCCATTTTGCTTATATGGTATCACTTACCTGTAAGGATTAAGGTCTGATATTTCTGGGTGCCCAAAAGATATCAGATCTTAATTCTTCAACCTATTATAAAATCAATTTAGGTCAAGTTTAGTGGAATATATCTTTGTGTCTTTGCAGTCATTTCCTCCTACAGTTAAGGTGTTGCTAGCATCCCAAAAGAACAATCATATTCCCATAGTGCTAACTCACCTCATATTGTAAAACAAAGATTCAGGGCCATGTCCTGATGTGACTGCCATGTGGGACCTGAAACGAAAAGTATGGAGGTAATGGTGGGAGAGAGGCAAATATAGAGAATTAGAAACCAATCTGTGAAAATTATTCTAAATGTAGCAGTGTATCTTAAAGAAATTTGATGGAGATGTTCCTAAATTGGACAATCCTAAAAATGTACACGGTATTGTCCATAACAGGTTATGAAGTGAAAAGAAACTTGCTAAACTATCGATATTAAAAAAAAGACAAATTTCCATTATATGTGGTAGAAGAAAGACTGAATTATCTTTCTATTCTCTATATAGAAAATTATAAAAGATCATTGAGGAAATAATTACAGGGGCAGTTCATTCACAAAAAGATTAATTTTTATGGTATCTGTTAGGTTTTTTAAATTTTTAAATATGGCATGTCTTCTCATTCTAAATGAAAATTAACTTTTATAGTTGTAAGTCATCTGCTAAAGTTAATTAAAAATTATTTAATTTTTATATTATATGTCAAGTTTTAAAAATTTAAATGTGTCATGTTTTCTCATTCAAGTGAAAATTATCTTTTGTGGTTGATTTTTAATCATCTACTAAAGTGGCATAAAAATTATTTAATCCTTGTGTTATCTGTCAGTGTTATAGTTTAGATATGAGGTATTCCCCCAAAGCAGTTAATGTAGGAATAGTAAGAGGTAGAATGATTGGATTGTGATAGCTGTAATCCATTAAGTTCATCCTAATTTAAATAGATTTGTTGGTGACTGTGGGCAGGTAGTGCATGGCTGGAGAAGATAGGTCACTGGAGACATTCCCTGGAAGGATTCATCTTCCCTGTGTTCCCTTCCCCTTTCTGTCTCTCTGCTTCCTGGCCATCCTGAGCTGAGCAGCTTTCCTCCACTGGCCCTTTTCCCATGCCATGCAGCCTCATCATGGGCCCAAAACAATGAAGTTGGCTGTTTACGGATTGACACCTCTAAAACCCTGAGCCCCAAATAAACTTTTCCTCCTTTAAGTTATTCTTACATTCTTTTTTTTAAGAGAGAGAGAGAGAGAGAGAGAGAGAGAGAGAGAGAGAGAGAGAGAGAGAATCTTTTTGTAGATAAACACAACACAATGCCTTTAGTTTTTTTTTAATGTGGTGCTGAGAATCAAACCCGGGTCCTGCTCATGTTAGGCGAGCGCTCTACCGCTGAGCCACAATCCCAGCCCCTCCTTTAAGTTATTCTTGTTGGGTTTTTGGTCATGGTGATGCAAAAGCTAAGTAAAATAGGTTTTAAATTTAAAAAAAAAATTATGTCATGTTTTCTAATTCCAAATAAATTAACTTTTGAAGTTGATTTTGTGTTTATCTGGTAAAGCTGCTTCCTAGTATTGTATAAGTTTTAGGGTATGGTAAAGCCTGGACAAGCCCTTAACTGAAAGACTCCCTTTAGACTGCTTTATGGTTCAGGCATAAGCAAAAGGGAAGCTTCTTAAATACATTAAGGGAAATTGCCTCAAGAGCCAGAGGTCTTCAACATTTACAAAAAGTCAGTGTTATGTCTAGCTTGGCAAAACTGGCAACACAGAGTAGTTTCTTTCCAGCCTATTGCCTGGGGTGTCAACCTGACCTCAGTGTTTCTCTCAAGATTGGCTGAAAAAGCAAATACATATGAGTGATTGATTGAATGAGGGATATGTACTGTACCCATCCACTTATGGTGCACACTAATCTTCCCTAGGATAAGCTAGATTATGAAAGATGTATGTATATACCCCCAATTGCCCTTCCTGGATTATGTTTATGGTTATATAATTAACCATATGATTATATAGTTAAGATAGGTATTTAGGATAAAGAGGGATAAAAACTGAATCTTCAAGGAAAGTACCCACAAGCCATTGAGATGCAGAAAGCACAGTTGTAAGTCTCTAGGAACATCCCCTTAGCCCATGCCCTGGTCAAATGAGGGAAATATGCAAACATAGGGAAAACTGGCACAAAATTGTGCAGCTCCACTCTGGCTCCATCTCCAGTCTGGTCCCTGATAAAGCCCTTCTAGAAATACTGGACTCCCAGCCCAAGGCAGGGCTGCTTCTCATTCTCGAGATAGCCCCAATTCTTCCTTGAATGTGTATCTACTTTTAAAAATAAACCTCCATCTAGGCCTTTGTCTGGCTTATGTTGAAATTCTTTTCTGTCACATATGCCAAGAACCCTGCCGGTCCTGAGTTGAATCCCTTCCTTGGGGAACTCCTCTGTACCCTTCTCCAGAGACATCTCTTCTCTCATGACATGGTGACTCAAAGGGAAGTATAAGAAATAGTCCTCTGAACTCAGAAAATCAAGGGTGGTGTTTTATTTTTCTTATATGTGAAAACTAGAGAGGAAAAAAGGGGGAAAAAAGAGAGAGAGAAAAAAAAAGGAAGAATCTCATGAAATTAGCCTGGAGATCAGTAGAATAGAGCAAGAGAACCTGGGGTTGAGAGAAGAGGAAGGAAAGAGAAGGTAGTGGGGAATGAAATTGACTAAATTGTGTTATGTGCACATATAAATATATCAAAATGAATCCCACTATTATTATTATATAATTATAATGCACCAATAAAAACAATTAATTTTAAAAATATATTGACTTTTTATTAAATTGAAGCATGATGTATATTTAAAAAATTGTACATACTGGATTTCTTATTAAATATGACATGTTTACTAGAATAAAGTAAAAGAAACCGTCCTCTGAAGCCCATTTGTGTATTTATTGTGGGGATGCTATTGAAGAAATTGTCCATTATGTTCCTATTTATGAGAACCCTGAGGAGACATTTCACTTGGCTCCCCTGAGCATCAGGTTTAATTTTATTTGTATCAATGTTGTACATCATGTGTCTGGTTTTGTCTCTCACATTTCATGTTTCTAGTAGAACTCTTGAGAACTTAGAACATGAATTTCAGTTAGCATTATGACCCCTAGTTCCATGTAAACTACTTTTATTTTTTTTTAACCTTGATTTTCTTATTTGCCTCTCATGAATTGTTTCTGAACTTATATTTTTAAATGTATTTATGCAAACTTCCCCTAAAATTAGTCTGCAACAATGTGGGGCAGAAATAAAAAATAATATAAAAACCACATTATGCAATTTAAAAAATAATAAAACACCTAAAATACATTTCCTTTCAAGGTACTATTTATTATATGATATTTCTGCACAGGCCTTATGCCTGCAAATCACAACTGCAGTTAGTGAGAAAGGATTCAGGTTTCATTAATGAAACCTTAGACATTTTCAGTTGAGGAAAAAAAAAGCCTCATTTTTCCCATATTTTTTTCTTTCTCCATTTTTCACTATGATTATTGTTCATTTAAGAATACCAAGGTTCTCTGAGGCTCCCAGTTCTTTCTTATTCAAGTAGGTTAAGTCAAATTACATATGACAAAAATGACAAAGGCCTTTCTAATCTGCAGAGCTTTCTGCTCCTGGGAGAACTCAGTCCTCTTGTTTTTGTTTCCCTTCCCTGAGTCAGCACTTGGCTAGTCCAAGGCCAAGGGTCCCCAGCTCAGACTGTTAGAAATAATGAGAGAGGGAGAGAGAGGAGGGGGAGGCTATATTTTAAATTTCAATTTAAAATATAATATTCAAAAGGAGCTCTGCTCTTTAGTTGGCAGAACAATTGTATTGTTAATACAGTTCAGAAAAGAAGGACTAAGGGGAGTCAGGAAATAAAAAAACATATTGTCTCCATAACTCCACTTAAATTAATTTTGATGCTAAAGTACAGCATGAGATATCTCTATAGATGAAGAGATAAGCCCCAGAAACTAGTTAAGATGATAAAACTAATATTAAGGTTATTTTTTTTTACTGGGGCTGAAACCCTTTTTTTTATTCTCCAAAGAAAAATCTTCTGGTCTTTTGTTGATTAAATGATATATACTCAATAAGTCTCTGTTAATTCTGATAGTCTTTTTGTTTCGATTTTTTCTAGTCCTAGTTAATGTAGCCCCTAGATAATTGTTTATATGATTTCTAGATTATTTCCAACTAGCATATTATCTGATGCCTTTTTTCCTTCATTATCATTATTTCTAAGATGTCTTGCCCCCTCAACATAGCCAGTAATTAATTGCATATCTGAATTAGGTTCATCTTCTAATTTATTTTGATCCAGTGCCCATCTGATTTAGAGTTCAGAGAGTTCTGTTTTATCTCAGAATTTATGAATCAGTTTTTTAGTCTACATCTCCCTGTAAAGGTTCTTATGACCTTGACAAAACATTATTTTATTTACTTCCCAAGGCACACACTCCATATTATACACCATAATCTAGTTTGTGATTTACTGTCTGTTTCCATGTCCTGTCCACTGGCCATTCACAGGAACACTAGAGACCAATGCTCAGCATGGTCCCCTATGCAAATTAGCCATATATTTTGACAGTCTCTGCTCACTTTGTGCCCATTCATCATGGTTCCTTTTCTTCCTTTTCCTGAGCTGCCTTAGAGCTTCTGTGAGGTCACATTCTGTGTTTAATGATAGGGACCTGGAACTGAGGCCCAAACAAATCATCCAACAGTAAACAAGCAACTCTAAACAAAAACATCCATCATAGAGTAATGACGTTAGTAGAGAATAAATGATTAAGACTGATTTTGAATGGCTCTCTATACATGATGGGAAGTGTGTGTATGTGTGTAGGTAAGTAGAAGATTTGCTGCCTGAAGAAGGGCAGGATCTCACAGAGCTGAGGCTAAAATGAACTCCAGTGGCAAGATGTGAATGATGCTACTAGGAGCCTATATACTCTAGCTACTCTGGTATTGTGATTCCTGTGCTATATCACATGCAAATGTGAGTATTCTTGCATACACACACACACACACACACACACACACACACACACACACACACACACACTTGGAAGCCTGGATGCCAACTTTCTCTGATATGAAGGAAATGCTGGAGAGTGCATGCCTCTCCATAATTGTCAGTAGGTAACAAGAAAGGCTGCACAACTTGCCACCAGGCCAAATCCCAGAGGGGGCTTATGTGCCACCC